CTCTGCTGCCAGATGAGAGCAAAAGGGCAGAAAAATCGAGCAGTTTACTGCTGCTTCGAGGCCTTCATGGCCTTGACCTTCCTCTCGCGACGGCGCTTCATGGCCTCGGGGCTGGCCTCGGTGTCGAGGCAGAAGTCCCACCAGCGGAAGCTGGAGGCGTAGTTGCCGATGAACTTCTCGTGGTGCATGTCATGGTGATCGGCGCCGGCCCAGAAGGGGAGGAAGTGACGCAGGGACCAGGGGAAGTCGTAGCCGCTGTGGGCGTCGATGGCCTGGAACAGGCGCAGGATGATCCAGACGTACATGGTCAGGAGGTGGAGGTCGCCGGTGATGAAGACCCAGATGATGGGGGAGCCGACAATGCCCATGCCGAGGATCATGACCTCAATCGGGGAGGCGTACTCAGCGGCGAGACCGAAGGGGGCGGAGTAGTAGTGGTGGACCTTGTGGATGGCCTTGTAGAGGGGACCGTAGTGCAGGGCGCGGTGCATCCAGTAGTGCCACGAGTCCTCCATGACGAAGAAGACGGCGATCTGCATGGCCATCTTCCAGGCGGGCGGGAAGGGGACGCCAAACTCCATGCCGCAGTAGGTAGCGAGAGGGTGGAACAGCCAGATCTGGGGAAGCTCGACAGTGAAGTGGGACAGGAGGACGACGTAGGTGCACTGCCACTGCTCCTTGAGGGTGGGCATCTTCTCCTCCTGAATCTTGTACTTGTGGAAATAGGGAATGAAGTCGAGGAGGATCCAGGGGATGCAGCGGCCGAAGTAGACGGCCTCGTGCATGACGAAGCTCATGATGCCGGTGGCGAGAATGTCGTTCTGCATCCAGATATACCAGGCCTGGCCGTTATGTTAGTCTGTGATCATCGTTTGACATTGTGGGCGCGTCGCGCGCAGCCGACAGCGTGAGGGAGGGGCAACATACGGCCCAGAGGCGCTCGGCGGTGTTGAGCTGGACATTGTACTTGGAGACCTCATCGTAGACACCAAAGTAATCGGTGGTCTGGTTCAGACCAGCCATGACGACGGTCGAATTGCTGTTGTAAGAGAGCGCGCATTAGCAAGGAGTGGCGACTTGGCGAAGAATAGGGGGCGCGATCGAGGGGGCTCAACGTACGCGAAATCCATCTTGGTAGATGCCCACTCTTGACTCGGCAAGAAATGGTGTAAGAAGAAAGCGAAAGGGGAGAAATCCGCGGTGATGAGGTACTAGGGGAAAAGAATGCGCCTCCAGTCCTCGATGATCGCGAAGTGGGATGTCGAGTCGGGTCGAGTCGAAGTTGGGCGATGGCAAGACGAGGAAAAGTCTATGATAAAGGAACGTCTGGTCTGAACGATAAAGGGTCTCGGGCTTGTTGAGGTTTTATCAATTTCGCTTGCCGCAGATGGGTATCGCCCCCTTTGCCCATTCATCTGGGCCCCCCCCCCTGCTGGCCTGTTGGGTCGATGGGGCAGTAAATTGGGCCAATGACGAGACGACCTGATCATGAGCCCACGGTCAAGATGGACCTTCCGTCTTCCGAGCCGCTGGAATCCGATGCGGTCTCTGCCCATCAGTGGGACCCTGGTGTGTCTGGTCGGTGGAGCTCCTGTGGCTGAAGCGCGGTCTTGTGTGCTGTGTGACAGGCACGAAGGGGGGTCAAAAGGGCCCAAAACACATGCCAAATGAGAGCCATCTGGGACCTGATTGTTTTGCATGTGGCGGATCTGGTGTGGCTGACCACCCACCCCAATTCGTATTCGTTTTTGACAAGCGCAGGCACACAACTCACACACACACACACACACGCACCGCACGCACCGCACGCACACGCAAGACGGGAAGTCCATGCCCGGGACCACACCACCCACCATGCCAGCGCAAGATTGCCGAATGGAAAGGATCAGCCCACCTGCCACCGCTGCCACTGGCTGTTCCCCTTCTGGCCTTCTGGGGGATCCAGAAGACCCCCGGCCTCTTTGAGATGTCGTGTCATTGCCTCGCCACTACTTGTTGATGCCGACTGACCCTTTCATCGACATGGCGTGGTGCAGCTCTTTTTTCGGTGTCCTGAATGGGGACTGAATGGAGACTGTGAGCGGGATGATGAGTTGCCGATGCTACGATTTTGCTCCTTCTTTGGCCAAAGCCCTGTCCGCCGATTTGATTTCCCTCGCCTGATATTGGGCACCTAGGGATAGGCAAGGGATTGGACAGACCCCGTTCGGTGTCTGTACATAGTACATGGTACCTCAGTCGGCACAGGGCTGAATCAGGCGATTTGACGGTGAGTACCAGTCACCAGCCAATGGATGGCAGGCAAAATACCGCGAGTCCTGGGAGGTGGACTGCATATATTCACAAGGGCTTCTCATTCCTCCACGCACACTCACATGCTGATTGAAGTACACAACTTGAAACTAGATTGAATGGCCTGAGGCTAAGTGGATAGCCAGATGCTGCAGGGCCCGAAAGACGCAGTTCATTGTTAACAAAGTGCGTACCTAGGTACCTTAGATAAGGCAACGTTAGTCAGCACGCTTGCGGTCACCACCACAACGACCGACACACCAATGACGATGGAGGCTCATGACGTTGCCCCGTCGTAACCCACCAGGGCCAGGACTGATAGCTCAGCTCGCTTTCTGTTTCGTCCACTGCACCTGCTGAAGCTCACATTCTCCATGTTTGCAAACCTCCATCATCCCAACCCTTTTCCAACTGTTCAGCCTCGTGGAGGCATCGTCCCACGTGACAGCCGTCATTCCGTCAAACCTCCGGCTCGGCACGCAATATTCCACCGTCATTCAGGCCTGGGCGTAGTATGCTTCACTAATCAGACTCTTTGACACACCTCCAGGCTGTTCGGCTCCTGGTCGCCATCATGTCAATCTTTGCCGAGTCAGTCCCACCCTTCCTTCACACAATCACTCACTACCACCCCTCTCCTGTTGCCCGCACCCATCTGCATGGAAATGTTCTGGGACCATGTTGATTGACCTGAGTTGTCCGTGTGAACAGCCGCGTGCGACGTCTTGACGCTGATTTGGACCGCATCTCCTTGGGGTTTGATCGGCCACAACGCCCCAGGCGTTCATCAACGTCCACATATCAAGACCGAGCCTCCAGCGCGCATGACCATGACCGTGATGATCACGACGAATCAGAGCGAAGCAGTCTGTCAGAAGTCCTCGAGGCCTCAGAGGACGGTTCCGTCTTTGCCCATGCCGCCATAGACGCCCTGTCAAGACCTCGAGCGGTTAACCTCCTTGAGGTTGTCAAGGCTCTCTCATCCACATCCTCATCACACCCTCAGCTATCTTCATCAAGGATCAGGTTTCTTCTTGAGCAATCCGGAATCGCCGACCCGGAAATCCAGTCGGAAGCCTTTGAGCAGTATGACGAGTCCGAGAGGAGGCACATGTCCAACATTGAGTGGCTCATCATCAGCAAAGCAACCGTGCAGACCTGCGGCCTCATCCAGGCGACGCTTTTGGATCAGATCATCCCATTGAACAACGAAATCTGGTACTGGGAAGAGGTCCTCAACTCGTACGTCTACAGCAGCATCTACACCGTCCAGACGTCACCTATTCGCCTATGGGCACTCTATCAGGAGAACAAGCACCGCATGAAGCCGCTTAGTTCTTCACCTACCGAGATGGCCAACTCGACCTGGGAGGGCATCAAGGGTCCCTGGGTTCAATTCTACGACATCGTTCGCACCACTGTTCGCGATCGGTCCATGGTCGGTCTGCAAGGAAAGGTCCTGTCGCCCATTTCGCAGGCACGCCGCGAGGCACGCAAGAAAATCGCAACTCTCAAGAAGTTGAGAGAAATGACTTCGACCGGTCTCGGCATACTCGTTGACGAAGCCTTGGCGTTTGGCATCGACCAGGACGATGCCAATAGTGATGTCGAAATCAACAGCCATCTTGATTGGAAGGGCGTTGTCTGCCGCAGCGTGGCGCTTATGGAACAGGTCCTCCAAGACGTCCTCAAGCTTCGCTACAGCCTCGTGGATTACGAAAATGGAGTCTTCACCGGTGTGCAGGACGACCCCGAACTGTTCCAGACGGTCGACCACGACAACGCCTCTGACCAGGCGGCTGTCGTCACCCGCCGCCTATTTCAGCTTCTCGAGACCACTCTGCCTGTTCACAACGACCAGCTGGCGCGCCTTGTGACAGAACATGGCCGCCCCTCTGTCCTCGTTCGCTACTGGCTCCCCGCAACTGTCGCTGCGCTCTCCTCCACCACTGTTCTCCGCATCCTAGTCAACAGGCAAGCCGAGCTCATCGCATGGGCTCAGGATGCTGCTGCCACGGTCCGCGACTTCTGGGCCAACTGGATCATCGAGCCCACTCGCAAGGTTGTCCGCACCATTCGCCATGATGAGACGAGCGAGATCGCCATCATGAGCCGTGACAGTCTCAAGGCCGACCGTGAAAGTCTCGAGCGTATGGTTGTCGACTTTGCCACAGACAACCCCCACTTTGCCAGCGCCAGTGGTGCCGCCTCGGGCCCAACCTCGGCCCTCACCGAAACCGACATTGCCGCCATCCGTGCCAAGGTGAACAAGGGCGACGTGACACCCGTACTCCGCGCCTACGAGCAGGATCTGCGCAGTCCACTCAAGGGCGCCGTGCGCGGCGACCTCATCCGTTCCCTCCTTATCCAAGTGCAAAAGACAAAGGTTGACCTCGAGGTCGCCATCTCCGGCATTGACGCCCTTCTCAAGTCCCAGGAACTCGTCTTTGGTTTTGTCGGTCTGACACCGGGTATTCTCGTTTCTATCGGCGCACTCCAGTACCTTCGCGGTGTCCTCGGTGGACGGAAAGGCGCCCGCCACAGCAAGAAGGCGGGCAAGAGCGTGCGTGTACTGAGGAACATCGACCGCATCTTCTCAGAGGCCACGCCGACGGCGGATAACGTCCTCACGTACCGTGACCACGGATTGCTGCTGTGCGAAGTGCACGTGCTGCGGACACTGATGCACAAAATTCTGTCTCGGGATGTGGAGAAGGAGTTCCTTGAGGACCTGGAGGACCTCTCGAATCTGCGAGGGTTCCAAATCCAGGTGCGCGCCTTGGACAGGATCAAGTGGGCGTATGCCAAGTGGCTGTCGTAGCGGACGATGAGGCCGGACCGTCAGCATGAGCATGTGCAGGTCTGAGACGCAGCCGATGGAAGCTGGAGGATGATATGAGTGAAAGGTACCCCGTTGGAGACATCGTAGAGAAGCCATTGAGTCCATGACGACACTGGACCGAAGAGGGAGGCCAATTGCGCAGTTGCAGCAATCACTCTGTATATTTCAATAAAAAACTTCATCATCCATCCCATCATCACTCTACAACAGCCGACTCCAGTCGTCCAAGCACACACGCACGCACGTTACGCCTCTCGCCTGTTTCGCCATCGCTCGCTCCATCGCTCGCGCCCACGCCCGCCCATGCACCGAATGGCGTCAGCCTCAAGTCAACAACATCCGGGTCGACATCAACACCCACAACACCACGCCCTCAGGTATGCCCAAGCCAGCCCATCCTCTAAACTCCACAGCCACCGACTCCAAGACTTGTACACCGAGCCAAGAAGCCCTCTCGCAACACAACAACTCAACGCCATGCGACCTTATTTTTTTTTTGGTGCCCCATTTTCCGCTGCCTCTTCCATGTTGACCCTTGCCCCAAGTTGCTCTCCTCCGTCACAGAATCACACACACACACACACACACACACAAGTACAACAGCCCGACCACTACGGAGGAGAGAGAAGAGAAGAGAAGACAAGAGAAGAGAAGTGGAGGAAGAGTATGAGGTGAACGCTTTACACGCCGGTGGCGTCGTCAAAGACAATGGCGGCCTTGATGGCGCTCTTGTTGCGGATGCTCTCGAGGGCCTCGCCGAACTGCTCGAGGCGGAACGTCTTGTTGACGATGCCGGCGGTGCGGACCTTGCCGCTGTCGAGGTAGTCGATGGTGGCGGCTGAGAGCGGTCAGTGACGTGTTGCATGGGATGTGGTCAGGGAGAGAAGGGGAGGAGGAGGAGGAGGAGGGGCATCGAGAGGAAGAAGAGGACGGCGCAAAAGAGAAAGGGGGAAAGGAGGAGGAAAACGTACGGAACATGTAGGTCTCGGAGAAGGAGCCGAGAATGGTAATCTCGTCGCCGAAAATCTTGGACGGCGGCCAGGAGACGCGGGCGGCCTCGGCGTAGACGCCGTAGACGACGAGCTTGCGCCGCGGCGGACGTAGTGGATGGCGTCCTCGAGAATCTTGGTGGAGCCGGTGGCCTCGACGACGACGTCGAAGCCGTAGGGGTTGTCCTTCTTGAGCTGGGCGAACTGGACCTCGGCTCGGAGCGCGAGAGCTCAATGT